AGTGCAAACTAGAGGGACACATGGTAACGCGGATGAATCCTAAAAGGATGGGCGAAATGAAAAACCCTAAGAAACAGATCAGGGTCATAATACAATCCACCCACTTAATTTCAAATCCGTGCACAACAACATGCACTCATAGGAACACAGACACAGAACAGAGTAGATACACTGAACACATCGCAACAACTGCCAACAGGGAGGGTGGGAGCGTCGAGGAAGTAAAACGCCAGCCGGGGAAGTGGGGCCGTGTGAACCCGGGAGCATACTCCCAGAGATGGGGAGAGGGAACGAGGACACTGCTTCTGTGAGCCCACCAGAGCAGCTATGGAGCTGCTGCAGGGCTTTCTCTCACGAGGTCGAGAGGCAGGCAGGAATGGTCCCCAGCAACCAGCAGCCACAGAGGTCCCAGGTCAAATTTCTATGTCGTCACTGTTCCTAGGTGGCTGGAGCTTATGCTTGTTTTTGCTTTTTATGTTTTCTTGTTTTTTTAACTTATTTTGGGAAATCTCACACATGCCTAACTGTAGCAAGAACAGTACGCCCTTCCCTCAGCCTCAACTCAGGCCATTCTGTTCCCCGGACTGTCTCCTACCCAGACCACTTGCAAGTACCCCAGACATCACCCATTTCACTGCCCAGGCTAGTGAAGTATTGTTAACTTTGCCATTAAGTTTGTCCAGGTGTCTAGGAGGTCCCTCCATGGACCTCCATGGAGCAGCTGGGTTTTTTTTTCCATACAGGTGGCACAGTGTCTTGCCGGTGGGACCAGTCACAGATGCACTGAGGTGCCCACTGCGCTCTCAAGCACTGAGCAAAGGGGCCGTTGCTGCCGCCCGCCCTGGTGATGCCAGCACAGCAAACACAGGCCTGGGTCTGCACGTGCCAGCCCACGAAGCTCCCACGTTCTAGGTATTCCACCACAGACTAAACATAGAACAAATCTTGGACAACAAACAGAACCAAAACTAAACCCAAATCATATTACCCACTTACTCATAATTCATAATTTGAAACAATAAACTAATTTAATGCCCACTTATTTACCCCTAAATTATAAAACAGAAAGTTTAGTAAGGATATCTACCCTGTCAAGAAGAGTAAGACATTCAAGGGCTTCTGAGAACCCAGCCCATTTACAGAATCAAGTGTACCATCTACTCACTAAACAATGTCTAGAAAAGCCGGCCCAGTTCAACAGTTACAAGACACTGGGATTTTTCAGACCAGTACATTTTTTTCTTTTAATACAGAAAACCAACAGAGGATTGACAACTTTTCAACTTGGCGAAACAAGGAGCAGGGAGGGAAGAGAGAGAGAAGATACAAAGGAGGAAAGGATGAACTATACCATCCATAATTACCTTAATTTCAGGAAACAGTGACTTTTTAAATATCAAAGAAAGGAAAGTCATAATCTCTGGATTAAGGATAACATTTCACTTTGAAAAAATAATAGTTTTAAGAAAAACTCACCTCACCACTTACTTTGCTCATGTCACCAATATTACAGACCAGTGCTTGAGAACATCTATTTACATTACCACTAATACTAGAAATAAGACCACTAATCTAGACTATATGCCTCATTAGCTCGTATCAGTACATTCTGCTATGACCTTAAGAATAAAAAAATCTCGGGGCGCCTGGGTGGCTCAGTCGGTTGGGCGACTGCCTTCAGCTCAGGTCGTGATCCTGGAGTCCCGGGATCGAGTCCCGCATCGGGCTCCCTGCTCGGCAGGGAGTCTGCTTCTCCCCCTGACCCTCCCCCCTCTCATGTGTTCTCTCTCTCTCTCTCATTCTCTCTCTCTCAAATAAATAAATAAAATCTTTAAAAAAAAAAAAAGAATAAAAAAACCTCTGCAACAATATTTATATGCCTCTGCCACCATCCACACAGTTTTAAGAAATATTTAAATGACAGCATCAGTGCTTGCTGCAGCTCATTTCACTGTCGAATGACCTGGCGTAAGCTGATTCTGAAACTCTTATTCGGATAACAGTACGTTATTTGGCTTCCAAACGTCTCTCGTATCCCAGCAATTGTGCACTACCCCACACAGAGATGCCAGTATCTCGTCAGCTGGCCCTTACCTACAGAGAAGGCTATAACTGGACCCAAAGGCCCACCACTGACAGCATCCTTAGACAAGTAAGGGGCTCATGAACTGGCTTGAGATGCCTCTTGTATAACAGAGCATCAACACAGCACGAGGGGTCCCCACACAGTCCATCTGCAACACCAAGCAAACTATTACCAACATCATCTAGACGTTTATCCAACCGTCAGATGAAAGGAACCTCAAGTTCTTCTTTATTTACTTTTACTCAGCATGACTATCACACGGAAGGTAGATTCTAAAGAGAAATGTTGCCCATAAGAGCATGTAGCTCCATGAATGGAGCCTTTCAAAAAAGAACATTCTGTGGTAGAGACCGTTGCTAAGAGAAGACTAGAATCTGGAATGCACCCTAGTACCTGTCTGGCTACAAATCAGTTGGGGTTTTGTTGTTAATTTATGATCAAAGCCCTGGCTTTGCTCTGTGACCGGGGCCAGTTACAAGACCTCTTGTGCCTTGGTTTCCACCCCTGTAAACCAGGGACAATGAGCATCCCACAGAGCTGCTGTGACAGTTAACCCCAGAACCGGGGCTGGCGCATTTTGTCCTCATGGATCCTGACTGCAAAGAGGAGAAGGAAACAGATGGGGTCATCTTGCCACAGAGCATGGGCTCAGAGTGGCACACCTCTCCCAAGCCCACCTTCAGTGGCGTCTCACTGGCCACTTAAACTGGAAGTGATGGCAGTATCTGCCCTATGGAGATCAACAAATGCTTCCAACCACCAGGTTTTTCGTGCTTCCAGAGAGCCAATTATCAAACATTTACCAATGTACCACCTGAAAAAATGGCAATGGGAGTCCACGGAGGGCAATGAATTTTTGCACAATCAATCAACAACTGAGACCATGTCTATTATAGGCAAACCGCACTAGAGGAAAGATCCAAAAAAGAGGGGTGTAACTGTAAAAAAGGGCTGCAGTGGGATGAAAAGATAAAAACTGAAAATCAGAAGTGAAGAGAAGAAATAACCACAAAGGTAAATTAAAATAAATGTAAAAGGGGCGCCTGGGTGGCTCAGTCGGTTAGTGCCTTCAGCTCAGGTCATGATCTCAGGGTCCTGGGATCGAGCCCCGTATCGGGCTCCCTGCTCAGCGGGGACCCTGCTTCTCCCTCCCCCACTCCCCCTGCTTGTGTTCCCTCTCTCGCTGTGTCTCTCTCTGTCAAATAAATAAATAAAAAAATCTTTAAAAATAAAAATAAACAGCATGCTTGTGTTATATTTCCGATAATTCCAAAATGTGAAGTCTTGGAGGGTCTGTTTCTACTGGGTTTCACTGCTGGTGTCTTGTTTCCTTGTGTGCTTGGTCAGTTTTGTCTGTGTACAAATCAATGTTCATAAAAATATCTGCAGGGATTTTTTTTTGGCATCTTAGGATAAAGGTAACTTCCTCCAGAGAGGTTTTAAGTCTGCCCCTGTAGGATGCCTGAAGGCATTCACCGAACCAGAAAATCTTAAACTAAATTTGTGCTTGATTTCCCTGCAGTACCAGGCAATGTGAACCGAGGTTAGAAATCCTCGCGAAGGGGCGCCTGGGTGGCTCAGTCGTTGGGCGTCTGCCTTCGGCTCAGGTCAGGATCCCGGGGTCCTGGGATCGAGTCCCGCATCGGGCTCCCTGCTCCGCGGGAAGCCTGCTTCTCCCTCTCCCACTCCCCCTGCTCGTGTTCCCTTGCTCGCTGTGTCTCTCTCTGTCAAATACATAAATAAATCCTCGCGAAGGCTAACCCATAGCCGCAGGTACTGCCCCACCTTCTTTCCTGCAATATTTAACAGTAAAAAGACAAACGGGGCGGGCAGGGAAAGAGTGAGGCAGATGTGCTGCTCGTTCACTCTTACCCTGAGGATGGAGCCTTCAGAGCCCCCTTTCACACGGGGAGAGTCTCCCTTGGCCTCTGCACCTTCAGAGGACTGTGGAATTAACTACCATTCTTCTGACCCTACAAGACCTCTAAAATCAAAGTCCCACTTTGTCCCGATCAGCAAATGCCCTCAGGGCAAAGGCAGATTCTGTGGTGCTTACTCACCTGAGCTCTTACTTCCTGGTTTCAGTCTAGAACTTCCTTGTTATATTGTCAGTTCTTTGTTTTTTTTTGTTTTTGAATCTAACACTTTTAGTTGTTTTCCAGAAGGTAGGGGGTGGGAGGTTAGAAGACAGTCCAAATAACCTAGTTCAACGTTTATCAAAAACATTTACCGGGGCGCCTGGGTGGCTCAGTCGTTAAGCATCTGCCTTCCGCTCAGGTCATGATCCCAGGGTCTGGGGATCGAGCCCCGCATCGGGCTCCCTGCTCTGTGGGAAGCCTGCTTCTCCCTCTCCCTCTGTCCCACCCCCTCCGCTCCTGCTCTCTCACTCTCAAATAATAAAATCTTAAAAAAAAAAAAAAAAAAAAGAGCCCGACTGAGCCACCCAGGTGCCCCGAGTTATCTTAGTTCTTAATGCACTGAAATGCTCCTGAGAAATTACACTTATTGTCATTTATGCAGCATGTAACTGGATTGCAATGGGTGAGCCTTCTGAGAGCATCTAATACTGGAGGAAGCCAAGTCCTTCCCTGGCTGTTCGTCTTGTATGGGGAATGTATGCTCTAGATGGTGACCGCGGCTGACGGTGTCCATGCCCCGACGCACGTGCTCTCCACAGGTGAGACATACCCATGACCGGCCCCGTATCTCTGGATTAGGGAGACCAAGTAACTTTTCTACAACAGAGTATCTTACAACCAGATACAGAAGGATCAAAAAACAACCAAAAGACAATAAACCATACACACACCTTCCAAATGAAGCATTTTGCTGTCATCCGTCTCTGAACTTCCACTTCTACAGTATATTTGCATAAATTACAATAAAGAAGAATTAAAAAGGAAAATTATCTTACCTTTTATGGAAACTTCTTGCTTAATTTTATACTCAAACAAAATATAAAAACATTTGGGGTTTTTTTCTTGGACTATATGTAACTTTAAGAAAGATTTTTTCACTCAGTAGAAGATTTATACTCTCTTCACCTGAAAAAGAAGAAAAAAATTTATTTTAAGTTCTGCCTTTGTAAAGTGAACTTACCAGAACAGTAGAGAAAAGGAAAACAAAAATCAGTATCTTAACTTAGTATTTAAATTATCAGAACATTTTATGATTAAGGAACTAAACATTCCCTTGCCTTTGCTCATGCTAGAGACAATGGTATTGATGATATACATCCTTGCTCTATCTGGGTAACTAGCTCAATGTTTGGAATGTCACTCCAAAGAATTCACATGAGAAGGATCTCCATGAAGTTGTCCAGTTTTGTAACTACACACCATCACCACAAGGATATACACATCCCCCGGCACAAGATGACTGGAGAGCTCACTGATAATCCATTGTAACTTCTAGAAAAGCGTAGAACTTGGGACTTTTCATTTTATATGTGCATGAAAGCCATGATTTTACCTTTTGAAAATTATACTTTAGCAACAGAGACAGGGGATTGCTCTAGAATATAAGAGACTTAAGAGACATAATCACCAAATGAAACATTTAGATCTTGAGTCCAATCAGAACAAATCAAATGTAATCACTTCTCATCAAGTGTATCTTCTGTTCTTATCAGTTTAACAATTTTTTTTTTAAGATTATTCATTTATTTATTTAAGACAGAGAATGAGAGAGCACATGAGAGGGGGGAGGGTCAGAGGGAGAAGCAGACTCCCTGCCGAGCAGGGAGCCCGATGTGGGACTCCATCCAGGGACTCCAGGATCATGACCTGAGCCGAAGGCAGTCGCTTAACCAACTGAGCCACCCAGGCGCCCCTGTTCTTATCAGTTTAATATCTGATATGAGTCCTCTGTCTGAGGACAACATGTTAAATGGATTTTTGGAACTAGAAGATGGAGTATGAGCTTGCTCCATCCATCCTATGCAACAACCTGGAATTGCAGTACTACCAAGAACAGTGCACCTCCCTTGGGGGAATTAAAAAAAAAAAAAAAAGGACAAATCAAATGTAAGTTATATTTGAAGCTACTGGGCAATCTGAATAGGGACTGCTATTAGATGATATTAGGAATTACTATGAATTCTTAGTTGTAATATGATATGGTGGCTATGTTTTTAAAAAAATAAAAACCGTTTTTATCTATTACAGAGAAAAAGTGAGTATTCCTGGTAAAATAACATTATTTCTGGGATTCACTTCTAAAATACTCCACCAAAAAAAAGAACCAAACAAATTTTAAAAGTGTAAGAGAGCAAGGGACAGATGGGGAAAAAATGGCAAAGTACTGATCACTGTTGAAGCTGGGTGGTGAGTATAAGTGTTCACTGTAATGTTTTCTGTATATTTATATATCTTTTTGTATATTTTTAAATTTCATATAAAAACCAAACCAAAAAAGACAAAGTTATGCTAGTGAGCCAGAAATAAGTCAGTGTTGCCATCTTCTAAAATAGATAATTCTTTTTTTTTTTTTTAAAGATTTTATTTATTTATTTGACAGAGAGAGAGATAGCGAGAGCAGGAACACAAGCAGGGGGAGTGGGAGACGGAGAAGCAGGCTTCCCGCGGAGCAGGGAGCCTGATGCGGGGCCTGATCCCAGGACCCTGGATCATGACCTGAGCCGAAGGCAGACGCTTAACGACTGAGCCACCCAGGCGCCCTAGATAATTCTTTTTACATCTAACACTTCATAATTAAAATTATTAAGTTGAATAATTCAACACTGGCTTTTCAACACTTCATACACAGTTTTCAAAACAATGAAGTATTTCTATAAGGTTGACTTTAGGCCTGCTTATTCTGACTCTGAACTAATGTTCATTTGTTTGTATTTATGTTCAACTGGGGGAAAAGGGATTGCTAATTTGCTACTGTTTATTTAATTTTGTTTTTTACTTATGTAAAATACTTATATGGTTCCAAAGTCAGAAGTACTTCAGAGGTGCCCCAGACCAACAGACCCACTCAGTGGAGAGTAGTGGGGCTGAAAGCTGAACAAAGACCCTACAGGTCCTGCTGGCTGGGAGGTGTTAGGAGTCCAACCTGGCGGAATGAAGAGCCTCACCGAGCTTGAGGCACACAGCAAAGACCTGAATAAGGCCCTGGCTGCAGGGTAAAAATTACAACCCGAGCAAAGGCCACACGCAAACACTAAGTGCAAAACCAAAACAGGTCTACTCAAAGAATAAAACCAAGCCTGACAGGACCAAAATGATCTTCCAATAATCTGTCTGCCAGAACAAAACTCAAGATATAAGCCAGATACCAACATATAAAAAAAAAGTTATGATACATACAAAGCAGCAGAAAATGTAACTATAATTTTTTTAAATTGAAAAGCAGCTGGGGGGGGCGCCTGGGGCTCAGTCATTAAGCGTCTGCCTTCGGCCCAGGTCATGATCCCAGGGTCCTGGGACCGAGCCCCGCATCAGGCTCCCTGCTCAGCGGGAGGCCTGCTTCTCCCTCTCCCACTCCCCCTGCTTGTGTTCCTTCTCTCACTGTCAGATAAATACATAACATCTTAAATAAATAAATAAATAAATAAATAAATAAATAAATAAATAAATAGCTAGCTAGCAGCTGGGCGGCTCAGTTGGTTAAGCATCTGCCTTAAGCTCAGGTCATGATCCCAGGAGCCCCGCGTTGGGCTCCTTGCTCAGCGGGGAGTCTGCTTCTGCCTCTCTCTCTACCTGCTGCTCCCCCTGCTTGTGCTAGTGCTCACTCTCTCTGTCAAATAAATAAATAAAATCTTAAAAAAAAAAAAAAAAAAGGCAGCTGGGTGGGGAGGGGGCACCTGTATGGTTGAGCATCTAACTCTTGATCTTGGCTCAGGTTGTGATCTCCATTTCATGGGATTGAGCCCTGCACTGGGCTGCATGCTCAGTAGAGAGTCCCTCTCTCGCTCTCTGCCCCTCCCCCCGCTTGGGCTCTCCCTCTCTCTCTCTTAAAAAAAAAAAAAAAAGCAGGGGGGTGCCTGGCTGGCTCAGTCGGTGGAGCGTGCTACTCTTGATCTCAGGGTTGTGAGTTTGAGCCCCACGTTGGGTGTAGAGATTACTTACAAAAAAAATCTTAGGGGCTCCTGGGTGGCTCAGTCAGTTAAGCGGCTGACTTATGGTTTTGGCTAAGGTCATGATCTCACGGTGGTGAGATCGAGTCCTATGCCGGGCTCTGTGCTCATTGCATGGTCTGCTCCAGATCCTCTCTCGTTCTCCCTCTCAATCTCTCTCTCTCAAATAAGTAAATAAAATCTTTAAAAAATAAAATCCTTACAAAATTTTTTTTTAAAGCAGCTATTAGAAACAGACCACAGGATGTCTCAGATGGTAGAATTAGCAGAAATAGACCTTAAGCAGCTATAATAAATGTGTTCAAAGACTTATAGGAAAAAATAGTGATAATGAGTGAAAAAACAGAATCTCAGAGATGGAAAGAAATGCACACTACACAGAAAAACAAATGACTAGTCTAGAATGGAGAGTGAAATATCTGAAACAAAAATATACTCTGGAGAGACTTAATAAAAAAATTGGGAGACTATAAAGAAAGTGTCTGTGAACCTAAGACATAAACTATCCAATCTGAAGAGGGAGAAAAAAGTTTGCTTTGTTTTGGTTTTTTAGAGGGAGGAGGAGAGATGGAAAGAGAGACAGACAGGCAGAGAGGAGGAGAATCTTAAGCAGGCTCTGCACCCCAAAAAAAGGTTTGGGTTTTTTTTTATTTTTTTTAAGATTTTATTTATTTATCTGAGAGAGAGAATGGGAGACAGAGAGCATGAGAGGGGAAGGGTCAGAGGGAGAAGCAGACTCCCTGCTGAGCAGGGAGCCCGATGTGGGGACTCGATCCCGGGACTCCAGAATCATGACCTGGGCCGAAGGCAGTCGCTTAACCAACTGAGCCACCCAGGCGCCCCAAAAAAAGGTTTTTTAAAAATGAACAGAGCCGGTGGCCCCTGGGTGGCTCAGTTGATTAAGCATTTTTTTTTTTTTAAAGATTTTATTTATTTATTTGAGACAGACAGAATGAGAGAGACAGAGAGCACATGAGAGGGGGGAGGGGCAGAGGGAGAAGCAGACTCCCTGCCGAGCAGGGAGCCCGATGCGGGACTCGATCCCGGGACTCCAGGATCATGACCTGAGCCGAAGGCAGTCGCTTAACCAACTGAGCCACCCAGGTGCCCCAAAAAAAGGTTTTTTAAAAATGAACAGAGCCGGTGGCCCCTGGGTGGCTCAGTTGATTAAGCATTTTGACTCTTGATTCTACTCAGGTCACAATCTCAAGTTGTGAGACTCAGCGGGGAGTCTGCTTCGGATTCTCTCTGCCCCTCCCCTCCCCCACTCATGCTTGTTCTCTCCATTTAAAAAAAAAAAATTAACAGAGCAAAAAGAAAGGAAGGAAGGAAGGAAAAAGAACAGAGCATCAGTGACCTGTGGGACTACCCTTGTAACTGGAAGTGGTCTCCCATACCTGTAACTGAAATCCCAAAGGAATATGAGAGAATAGAGCCTAAAAGTACATGAAGAAACTACAACCAAAATTTTTCCAAATTTTGTAAAAGAATCCCAAAAGAAAATACCTTACAAAAGTCTCACCCCAACCCTGTCCCTTCATCCTGCTCCCCTCCTCTCAATATACCTATTTTTATTATTTTTCTGATTTATTGCTTCGCTGCAAATATATACTTTTTTCATATTCTTTCCAACACTTCTCGTACAAAACTACTATTCTGTATCTTGGTTTTTTTGTTTTTTGTTGTTTTGTTTTGTTTCGTTTCCACAAAATACTTCCTGGGGCACCTGGGTGGTTCAGCAGACTCTTGATTTCAGCTCAGGCCATGACCTCAGGGTCTGGGATCAAGCCCCATGTTGGGATCTGCCCTCAGGAGGGACTTTGCTTGAGATTCTCTCTCCCTCTCTCTTTGCCCTTTGCTCACGATACCCCCCCAAGAAATAAATCTTAAAAAAAAAAAAAAAAAAGCCTCTTCCTTACTCCTTTTTTTCTTTTTTTAAGATTTTATTTATATATTTGAGAGAGAGTGGCAGGGGGGCAGAGGGAGAGAGACTCTCAAGCAGACTCCATGCTGAGCCCCGAGCCCGATGCAGGGCTCAATCCCATGACCCTGAGGTCATGATCTAAGCCGAAATCAAGAGCTGGATGCTCAACTGACTGAACCAACCAGGTGCCCCACCTTACTCCTTCCTTTCTTAAGTAAACATTTTTACTGATTTTAAATATAGTATAAAAGAAAGCACACAAATCATAAGTGAACAGCTCACTGAATTTTCACAAAATAAACCCATTCGGGGGCCTGGGTGGGTCAGTCAGTTAAGTGTCTGCCTTCGGCTCAGGTCATGATCCCAGGGTCCTGGGACCGAGTCCCACATCGGGTTCCCTGCTCAGCAGGGAGTCTGCTTCTCCCTTTACCCTTCCCCCCTGCTTGTGATCTCTCTCTCTCAAATAAATAAAATCTTAAAAAAAAAAAAAAAAAAATTCCATGCAGCCATACCATCCAGTTCAAGAAACTGGATTACCAGTACCTAGAAGTATCCCCTCATGTCCCCAAAGGTGCCAACCACAGTCCTGATCTGAATCGTATCACCAAAGATTCATACTCCTTGTGATAACTATACAGTACTCCTTTATGTTGACTTACCCCTAGTGATGGACACATGTTGTTTCCAGTGTTTTGCTATTACAAATAATCCCGCAATGAACAGTCTTTTGCAAAGTCATTTCATATTTTTGCCAACATAGCTTTAAGACAGATTCCTAGATGTGGGGTTGCTGGGTCAAAGGACAAATGCACATATAAATCTGCAAGATACAAATCCTCCTCCAGAGGCATTGTACCATTTTGCATTTCTACTGGCAAGAGGACAGTTTCAACACAGCTTTGTCAAAAGAACAGAGAGTTAAAATTTTGGATTTCTGCCAATATGTAGGGTGACCAACTGTCCCAGTCTGCTAAGG